GACCAGCCAAATCCAATCTCAAAATAGCGTGTGGCAAAGCATAACCTTCATAAATTGGAACAGTGTGAGAAACACCATCACCAGAGTCCAAAACAATACCAGTAGTTCTACCAGAAGCATACAAGGACAAGACAGCTTGAATGGCAACATACATAGCTGGAACTGAGAAGGTTTCAAACATGATTTGAGTCATCTTTTCACGATTTGCCTTTGGATTCAAAGGAGCTTCAGTCAACAAGACTGGATGTTCTTCTGGAGCAACTCTCAATTCATTGTAGAAAGTGTGATGCCAGATCTTTTCCATATCATCCCAATTAGTAACAATACCGTGTTCAATTGGATATTTCAAAGTCAAGATACCTCTCTTGGATTGAGCTTCATCACCAACATAGGCATCCTTATTACCCATACCAACCATGATTGATTTTTGCTTTGGTCTACCAATAATTGAAGGGAAGACAGCTCTTGGAGCATCATCACCAGCAAAACCAGCTTTACACATACCAGAACCGTTGTCAACAACGAGGGCTTGAACGTCTTCACAGAAGGACATGTTGAATTATTTGTTTTTTTTGTGAATAATGTCAAGTTATGATCGGGAGTTTAAATAATAATTGTGATGACAGGTTTAATGATTTGTTCAAGTAGGGTTGATGGGTGAATGACCCTTGGAGAGCAATAGTAACGTAGAAGATGCAGAATAGGCACGGTCTTTTTGTGTTATTTTTAACGTTCCTTTGTCGTACCTTGACCGCACCTCTTTTGTGTGTCTATTTTTATTTCTTTTTGTGTTTCTTTCATCTCAACCTAGAAACGAGAAAAGACACAAAAAAAGGAACGGAAAAGTATCATGAAAAGAAATTTGAATAGAATCAATAAATAGGCACATTAACGAGAAACTGTAAAAGAAACATTAATAAGCACATGAAGAGAAATTGTAAAAGAAACAAATAGAGTAATGTCATAAGAAACAAGTACAGACTCGAGAAAAGAAATACAAAGAGAAACAACATTAGTTAAAGCTATATTTGGTGAATCCAATTTTGGAATGTTAAATTTTTAAAAATTTAAAATAAATGTAATTAATCTAAATTTATTGGTTTAATGTTATTTCGTCTATTAATTCTTCTGTTACAATTAGCACTTGATTTGTTTCTGATATGCCTTTGAAATTCTGTAATAAATTCTTCAGTAGATCCACGAAAACAAACTTCAGTTGAAAACTTTCCATTTTCATCCTTAGTATAAGATTCAAACCTTTTAGTTGGTTTCTTAGATTGTTCATCCGTTAGTTCATCTTCACTGTGTTCAGAAATAGGAGGATCATCATATTTTGCAACTCTAACACCTTGAGATAAATTATGTTGAATTCCGATTGAATATGAGGAATGGACTTGTTTCCGATTGTAAATTACAAAATAAAGTGAAAATATTCCGATATGCTTAATAAGCGACCTCAATTCCGAGTTGTTAAAAATTTTCCATGCTCAAAAAATTATTCGAAATGTCTGGTAATAACAAGAAAGGAACTCCACAAAGGAAACAACACGCTGTATCATCTCCATCTCATCCTAAACAAAGAGTGGACCCACCACTCCCTCCCAAAAACCGTTGCGCTCATTAATCTTTGGTAAGGGATTAATTTCTGAGTGAGGTTTTCATCAATGTTTCGGAAACATTGTAAAATTTTCTTTATTTCACTAACACTTCTTTCTCATATTCACATTTATCGCTGGTCTGACGTTTTTTTCTTATCCTTAGGTCAACTATTGATAAGTTTTTTTTACAGACAAATTTTAATTATCTCGGGACCTGCTCAATAAAGATTTACATCCTTCAAAGCAGGTTCCAGGCTGTTTCACCATTAAGGTGGTTCAGCCCCTGAGCTTTAATACCCAATTGTCTAAATATTATTTGAACTTTATTTTGTGTGTTTACTATCGAAACAGAAAGTTTTTTACTTAAAATGTTTGAACAATAATGCAAACCCTAAAATATTTGAAAAATAATTAAAATTAATTAAAAATAAATAAAATTAACATACAATTTCTTTCAAGTCTTCTTCTTCTCTTTCAGTAAGCTCTTCTTCACTTCTTGCTTCCAAAGTTTCTGAAAATAATTTTACAAAGTGATGGGCTAATGACACTAACAATTCTTCCTTCTTTAAAATATCTAGTACAAAATCCGAACCTTGTTTTTGTACATATTTGTAAAAACCTTGAATAATACCTTTGGAAAACCTATTCTGTATTTAATTTAATAATTATACGAATAACTTACACTTTATGTTTGGTTTGCCAAACCTTTTTTAATCTAGTATGATTTAAACTTGCAAATTTTGTATCGGAAAGGTTTGGTATAATTCTTTTTGTTCTTTCTGTCAATAAGAATTATCACACTGGTAATAATTAGATAGAATACTTACTCTTTGATACTTTCTTT